GTGAAGAGTTTATTTTTAGTTCAAAAGTTCTTTTGAGGGCTAGAGAACACAAAATTCACTCAAAAAGAGAATGCATACAATGAGCAAAAATGAAAAAATGATTCTCTCCATATTACAAATGCTTTTATAGGGTAAGGCCCAAGGAAAAGACCCACTCAAATCTGTGATTCCATTCCCACATAGAGTGTTTGGCACAACTCACAACTTGTCATGAGACTGAGAGTCAGCTGAGAGGTTGCTGGAAGGATCCCAGGACATTCTGTCTTGAACAAAGTCTACTCAAAAGGTCTTAACAAGCAGCACATACTCAGGCCTAACTATGGGGCCCACTATTTTCAGAAAGTTTATCTTTAAGGAAAAAAATGTCCAGGTGAAATGGGTCTCTTAGCCACAGATTAATCTGTCATCCTCTCACGGAAGATTAAACCACTGGCTGCCCCGGAAGTCAGTGGAATCCTAACCTCCTAGGGAAGGCGAAGCTGGAGAACAACTTTGATTTCAGCATCTCAGGGCCAATAGGGAAGGAGACAAAAATGACTAAGTTACTCTTTGTTCCACACTAAGTAGGCTCCTGATGAACAATATTGAGGAGAATAGTGTGCTAGTAACCATGGCAGCCTAGAATATAGCCTTGAGGCAGAGGTACTAGGGCAAATGAATGTACCCCAAATCCAGTTTAAAAACTTCCTGCAGTTATAATACAATACTGTGCAGTGAATAGCTAGGAATTGTATATGCTGCTCCTATTTCTGGTAAAGCCCTGTCTTGCTCTTGGCCAGCCAGAGCTGAGAGGTGACTTATAAGGAGTTGGCTGTGACAAGAAACCAAGTACCTTAGTCACACACAGCCTGAGGCAGTGACACAGACGGTCATTACTTAATGGAGAATTCAGGTCCCCGGAACTTCGATTCAAAGCCAACGTTTCATCTCATCCAAAACTTTAAACCAAGCTCTATCTCTGAGCCTACTAATGCAATAAACTAGTGATTAGGAATCTCTACAAGGAATCTGGTTGAGTGGCAAGGTGCATGTCCCAGCAAGCCACCAACTTGACTGCAGGAAAACAAAAAGGTGCAAATTGTATCAAGTAAATGGTTGCTCAACTGGAAGATCATTTCCTGGGGAACTGCAGCAGCCTAGACGCTAATCACATGGATGTACACTGCAGACCCTAAAGCAAGCCTGGATCCCAGGTGTAGTGAGTCTTCTTTACACTTACCACATCCTGGCCGTCTTCTCTCTGGCCTTATAGCTCTTGAGTGGCTGAGCACACATTTCCCCCGGGACCATGTAAACATTATTCAATAGATCCCAGCTTAGGAAAACACAGCTTGTTATGTATTTAGTGTTTAACATTCCAGTGCAGGCAGTATCTTAGCATTAGACTTTCCTTCTTTCATGAGTACCAGTTTAGCAAGGATCACACACAGCATACTTGATAAAACTGTGGCTGAAAAGACCATTTGGGTGCCAGATAGCTGGCTCTATCCTGGAATCAGCTGATAAGCCAGGACTACCACAGGAGAGGCAGAACACACGAGCACAGGGAGTCGCGTAACCATTATTCCCACAGAACCCCTTGGGCCACATCTTGTTATGGGAGAACATTTCCACTTCTTGCATCAACCTATGCTCTCCTTCTTTTGGACAGAGCTCTCTCCAGAGGGTTCAGCAGCATCCTTAGAGAGGAGAGGAGAGCTTTTCCTTCCAGTCCTAACATCTGAATATTTCACAGCACAAGAGGCGTCCACGAACATGCTCGGAATGTTGCTGCCAAAGTAGATCTTACTGTTAGAAGCAATGGCTTGGTACCTTCTGAGCTCCAGATACTCCGGGGTCAATTTGTGCTGTGTGGGGACAAACAGGAGCAGAGGCATGAGGACACTTGGGTGCAATATTCATCCCTCTATTTCCTTACACACATTTCCCTATTGCTCTACTGATATTACTCAAATCTGAATTGTTGCAATGACTCTCTCTCACTTTGAAGTGTGGCTATCACATTAATAGCTATATTCCAGACTTGAAGTTCCTTCAACAAGTTGTTACAATGTAGGAAAATCTGTTTATTTTTTAATTAAAAAAAAAAAAGGTTGGGATGATTTTGAGGAACAATGGATGATAACATTTCCATAGTGACTTGTGACTGCTGAAGTACCTCCATATGTACTTTCTCATTTCATCCAGCTGAATCAACCTGGGATAGGTCTGGAATTTGTGCTGGCACTCCTGATATATGAACAGGTCCATGGATGGGAGTGGCAGAGCTTCAAAGGAAGAGCTTGGGCTCAGAAACTTACGTCAATCACCTGTGATTCTGGTTTTCTTGATCACATTTCAGAACTAGAAAATTTCTCAAGAAATCACCTGGTCTGGGCTCTTGCCTCTACCCAGAAACTGGATGTTTAATTGTCTGTGATGGACAGATGTTTGTCAATCATCAGGTTTCTCTCCCTGTCACAGTGTCTTGTTTAAATTGTGATGCTAAGACATATCCAATCACAATGTCTCTGGGTTTGATTAAAACTTATTCATTTCCAATGATCCTTAAAATATACTCCACAGCCTCTCAGAGCCTTCCCTAGTGATTCTCTCCTCATCTCAAGTCCCAGCCTGTTCTCCAGGCAAAAGCCCATCTTGTTCTTCACAGCCACTCCTGGACCTACACCTTTTCCAGCTGACTCATAGCCCCTGCTGAAACACTGCCATTAAATCTGCTCACCATGTATAAACAAATTACTTCCTAAAGCCTTATTATTATAGGTCAATATCTGGATAGCATTTTTCAAAGTGACATAAAACTGCTTGCTGCCCTTTTGGCATAAGCTGATTTCACAAGATGTGGATATTTGTGCCTGGTCAGACTCTCCCATGATAGATTTGAAATGTTAATTTTGCAAACTCAAGTTTCTCATCTCACCTTCATCTTGACCTAACTACATTCCGTTTCTATAGAGCTGTGTCCTCCAATATGTTAAGTGTATTTCTAAATTCATACTGAATTTCAAGTCTTATCATTTCTTCTGAATACAGATTATTTTGCTCTTTTCTAAATCAAAAGAGTTTAAGCTCTGTCTCTACATTCAATCTTTACTGTAATCTTGGAAACTATATCCTACACTTTAGCAAACTCTGTCTCCATTCTTTCTGTCCAATATACTCTACAACCAATAACCTTATAAACCTTGTTCATCTTCCCTTCTCAGAAAGCCATAGGGGTTCTTGCTGCCTCTTAATTAAATAATTCTTGTTAACGAGGCCTGTAGTCTCTAGACCTAAACTTACCCTAGTCCCTTCACAAAAATTGGTCACCCATACAGCACCCAACCTTCTTTCTCAAGTTATTACACATAAAATGCCTCATGACTAGAACATTTTAAAAGCCCAGTAAATAAGCAATACTCAATTGGTAGCACTTGAAATACGTGTGTGGGGGAGGGGCATTGACTATTAAAATAATTGGCAAACACTAGTGACATTTAGTAGGCAAGGGCCTGGGGTGCAAAATATCCCCTAATGCATAAGATGATCTTCAACAATTAAGTAGTATCTCACTCCAAAATGCCAAGAATGTCTCTGATGAGAAACACTGCTTTAACAAGCTTTCTCAAAAACCTACCTCCTCTGGGAAGCAATTCTAAGTAAACTTTACTCTTCTGTTCTTTTTGTCATTTCAGAAGCCCCTCAATTTTCTTGATTACTGAATTTTTATACAGCAGTACAAATGAATGGCCATATGGCAAGCATGTCAAACTCAAAAGGCTAACGCGGGCTAAATAAACAAGGTTTAAGTTTGTGTGGGCCGCAAAAAACAAAAGCTTCAATTTTCATAGAAACATAAATTTTGATAGAGACATTCTGAATACAAAGGAATAAAATAAATGAGTAACCATTAACATAAAATAATAGAACATTTTAATAAATTAGTATTTTTCTTGAATGTTAACTTACCAAACACTGAATAACTACATAAATTAAAAAGCATATCACAAACTTCTATTTTTCTTGTTTTCTGAAAGCAAACTAATTCCTGTTGCACACACCAAACAAGTCAGTTCAAGACTAATGACATGGGCTGCTAAAATATTTGCTGCTAGTATTAGTGGAGAGAAATGGTGCGCCTGTCTGCAAGGCATGTAAGGGAAATGAATTACTATGAACACGATTATAGTAATCAGTCAAGAGCGAACATAGTAGCTCATTAATAATTATATATAACAGGACATTGTAAAAATTAAGTTATGAAATTTTTATTAAAACATTTCTTGCATATCATTATATTAGCTGGGCTGCAAAAATATTCGTTGTGGGTCACATGTGGCCCATGGGCTGCGAGTTTGACGTGCTTGCTATATGGCATGTATTTTTATATATCTGCTTGCCTTTGTCATAGCTCCCCATATTTTATACGCAAATATACAAAATTCCCTGTCTATTGGCTGATTCTAGAGGGTGTGACAGTAACTACCCTTTCTTGACACTGGATAAAATCTTCTTTATCATATTAGAGCCCCCCACAAGAGAACCAAAACCCCAAACTGTATTACTAGGAGAGTGGCACCTTGTTTGATGTGGCATATTTATGTGCAGCATAATATTCAGCATCTGCTTTTGCCTTTTCTCGGGCCAGGAAAGCGGCATCTAGCAAAACAACACAGGGTATTTAAAACAAAGGAAACTTGTGATCTATCTCCTCAGATGGGTAACAAGTTCAGACTCTACTTTAGGTAACAGTCCCTTTCTCCACTGCCTGATATTTTGATCACTTAGATCACTTACTTTACTTTAAAAGCATATACCAGTAACAACTCTAGCAGTTTTCAAATTCCAGTCCTCAGCTTCTGAGGACTTAAATGGGAATACTCTTGTCAATGATGAACAACTCCCAGCTCAGCTGAGCCCACTTCATTTTCCACCTAGAATTGCTTTCTTTCCTCCACCCCCATCACCCAAAGCATCACACCCCACCCCACCTTCTTTTTTTTTTTCCTCTCCACCAGGAGCGTAGAACCTTCTAATTCACTTTGAGAGGCGCAGTCACAGCCCCCAAAGGCGACAAAATTCACTTGCTGTTAGCACCTGTTTCAACTCCCACCCCACTCTCAGCTTCAAGTGAAATAACTAAATCCAGACAGAAGAACTCTGCTCTATTTACTGCATTTGATCCAAACAATAGAAAGCAGCAGTATATAAGCAGAAGAGGTTGAATGTTTGGTTTTCAAGACTATGAGCTAAGAACAGCAACATCCCACTGTGAAATCAAGGAGTTTCAGAGCTCTGTGAAAACTGTGGCTTCCTTTTCCCCAGCTAATTTTATGTGTTTTTTTTCATTGACAGGTAGGAAAGAAACTGGTTGTGTTGGGGTTTCTCATCATATACAATCTTTACAACCGATTATGGGTAATTATCATACTGCCTGAGAACAAAGTGGGAGCTAATAAGCCGTATTTTAAGTCGGAAAAGGAAAGGTTGAGTTAGCCAAAGTCACAGACCAAACCAAGAGCTAAGATATGTAATGGCAATTAAAAAAAAAAATCTAGAATATCAAGTCAGTCACTTTCTACAGACTATTCCGTCTATGGCCTTCCCACCCACCACAGAGCCCCACCCCTGGGGCAGAGAGGCAGACTAGAATAGTCAGAGTCTCTTTTTTCTTGATGTACCTTCAATTTCAGAAATGCGTTTTTCAGTTTCTTTCTCCATCACCTTCTGCTGAAACCAAATTTTTGCCACTTGTGCAACCTTCTCTGCTTCTATAATCATACAAAAGAAGACACATTCAAAAACATTTCCCTAGCTGAACAAGTACATAGAATCAACAGCACACAATCTAACGTTTACTTACATAAGGTGTTATGGACTGTTTCATTAAGTTTATCTAACCACATAGCAAACAACTCGATGGAAAAAAGGGGAGTCTATTTCCTACTTTGCGATTTTCTATTTTGACAGTGCTCATTTTGTGGGCAGGGGAATACAAAAGGTAATAGTTCCAGCCCTTCAAGGGATTAAATAGCAATGGTCCACACGCGAATGGGGGGAAAAGATACTTCATCATAGTCCTCAGAACAAAAACAGAGCAACAGAAATGCATGGCAGGGTAGGACAATTAATATAATGTGGCAGAAGAAAGAAAGCTAAGTTACACGAAGGAAGGCCTTCTAGAAGAAATCTTAAATAAAATAATGGACATGACCTAGGTGGACAAGGCAGAAGGTGTAAACAAAGAAGGTACGAATGAGCAAGTGAGAGGTATACAGAGTCAGCTGACAAGAGATACAACAAAAAATAAGAATAGAAAGAGGGCTAGAAGATACCTGTCTTCAGTGACAGCCTAAGGAATTTAGACTTTAATATGCTCAGGACCAACTGTTAAATTGCCATAAAGGAAATGACACGATGAAAATAATATCAGAGAAGGAATATTCTGACTGGCATGGAAGGTAAAAGAGGAAGAAGGATAATTCATTTGAGAACGTAAAAGCAGTGCGGAAGTGAACACGTTAGTTGCAGCAGGCTGTCACAGGCGGGGAAAATGAGAAACTTTCTTAGTAAACCTCTGGGCCAATCAAAGGATCCAGGACCAAGGGAGAAAGACGCTAATTAAATTTTTATTTCAATCACTGCATCTCTTAAAGAACGGTTTCAATTCTCCTTCTCAAAGAAGGTGAATATTTTAACACATTTTTATGCACTTACCACAGGAAATGCATGGTTTTTTTTCTTTCTAGAAGATAGTAGTCTTTTTCAACTACTCCAGGGCACATTTCCCTATCAGCCATAAAGCCAATTTATATCATACCATCCTAAAGATAGACTATATTCAACTGGGCTAGAAATTTAGTGATACGCAGAAACTCAAGATAAAGATTGAATAAAAGGTGGGGGGATCTGGCATCTGCAGCAAGAACCCCAGTTAACACCACTCTTTGATGTGTGTGGATGAAGCTATGAAGAGTATGTCTGAACTTCTAGTCTAGGAAAATGGTGAGTAAGCTAATGAGAAAAATCCTTCAGCTAACAACACCTTAAGGAGCAACTTTCAACCTTTTCATCTCATGGCACTCATAAACTCATTACTAAAATTCTGCAGCATACCAAAAATGATATTTTTTGTCAATCTGACAAAAATAGGGTATACTATTGATTCATTCACATTAGACAACTATTGTGTTCACTGTTGTGATTTTTTTATTTGACAATCTAAGGGACAGAGGTCAGTGCCCTGACTAAATAGTCAGGTATTAAAAATTCTTACAGCTCACCAGTGTTCCTGCCTCAGCACACTGGTTAAAAATAACTGCTTTAAAGTGCTAGGTAAAATTCAACAAATTTGTTTTTTAATGGATGACTGAGATTCTAAGAAAAAATTTGTTTTTTAAACCAGGGCTGAGATTCTAAGAAAAAAATGGGAGCTCTTCAAGAGACATAAGCAAAGGGAGAGATGAGTCTGTATAGTGGCAGCCCCAAGGTGGTTATCAGACAAGTAAGGGAGAAGAACTTGGGTTATTGCTCAGGCAAGGCCAGAAGATGAGGCCTTGAGATGTTGGAACTGAGACTCCTGTATACAACAGAGAGACAGCTACAGAACTGCAACTCCAATGAGACTAAAAAACTCTATCATGCCCGACCAGTATGGCTCAGCGATTGATCATCAACCTATGAATCAGGAAGTCATGGTTCAATTCACAGTCAGGGCACATGCCCGGGTTACATGCTCAGTCCCCAAGTAGGGGGCGTGCAGGAGGCCGCCAATCATTGATTCTCTCTCATCACTCGTTTCTATGTTTCTCTTCCTTCCTCTCTGAAATCAATAAAACTATAATAAATAAAGAAATTAATTAGTAAAAACTCTTTCTACTAGTCTAGTGAGAAGTAAGCTTTTCTCTACCTGGACACATCATAGTGAAACTGGAGAATTCCCAAAGACAAAGAGAAAAACCTTAGAAGTAAAAAGAAAAGAGGCAAAACAAAAATAAAATAATTCCACCAAAGTAACAAAGAATTATAACTGGGTTTAGAATTATAGGCTAAATTATCATTAAGAATGAAACAAAGGCATTTCAGACCAAGGAAGACTGAGCAAGTTTCCACTCTAAGCCTTCACTGAAAAAAAACTAGCAGGAAAAAAAAAAAAAAATGAATTGCCCAAAACAATGGAAAAGAAAAAAATTACATAATACATGTAAATTGAAATAAATATTTACGTAAGAATCAATGATGATGATAGTTAATGGGGGATAAAAACAACATGAAACTAAAATACTAGACAACAGTAATATAAAAAATTGGAGGACAGTGATAAGAATTAAAGTATTCTAAGGTCTTATTCAAGAAGAGAATAGAATAACTTTAGACTTTGTCAAGTCAGATATACTTGTTAACATTTTACAGGTCATGACTAGTTATAATTCTAAAAACTAAATGTAAAACTTCCAATCAAGTAAAAGAATAAAGAAAATCCAATCAATTCAATATCCATCAGAAAAGAGGGGGGAAATAAGTAGAGGAAAAGATGCATGATAAATAGCACAAAATTAAATAATATAAACAAACCCAAACATAGCAGTAACCACAATAAATATAAAAAGACTAAACTCACCAGTTAAAAGACAGATTCTCACATTGGATAAGATAACAAAATCCAGCTATATGCTGTTTACAAGAGACACACCTAAAACATAATGACATAGAAAAGTTGAAAGTAAAAGGATGCGAAAAGATACAACAAGAAAATAACTAATCAAGAGAAATCTGGTATAGCTATTATCAGAAAATAGGCCTTAAGCCAAAAACATGTTTGGGATAAAGAGGGTTACTACATAATGGGTGCAATTTTCCTAAGAGATATAGCAATCTAAACCTGAATGCTCTTAATGATATAGCCCCAAAACACATAAAGAAAAAAATTGTAAGTTAACAAATCCATAGTCATAGTGAGATTTAACACACCTTTCTCAGTAACTGATAGATCAAGTAGGGAAAAATTGGAAGAATACAGCCTCACCTAATGGTTATACAGAGAAATCTGCATCCAGCATATAGAGAACGTACATTTAATCTTGTAAGCAGGCAGAACATTTACCAAAAAAGGACCATGTATTGATAGGCCATAAAGCAAATTTCAACAAATACTTAAGAATTCATATAACAGATGATATTTTCTGACTACTGGAAATCAACACTGAAAAGGTAGCCCCCTGAAAACCCTCTTAATAATTCACCAAGCAAAGAAATCCTAATGAAAATGTGTTTGTTTTTTTTTAACTGAAAATCAGTAATAAACTACATTTCAAAATTTGAGGTATACCTAAAGATGAATTTAGAAAACATGTAATCTTACATATTTTCATTAGAAAATACTGAAAACTAAAGAATTAAGTAACTTAGTAAGTTAGAAAAGAACCAATAAGCTCAAAAAAGTAGAAGGAAAGAAATAATAAAACTAAGTGTGATATTATTTTTTAAAAAGTGACAATAGAATCAACCAAAGTAAAATCCAGTTCTTTGAAAAGATGAGTAAAATAATGCAGACCTCTGGCAAAATTGATTCAGAAAAAAAAAAGGGGCACAGCATATCAATTTGGTAGAGGGTTTTAAAAATCAAAAAAGAATTCTACAAATTTATGTCCCCAAATCTGAAATAGCAGACGAACTAGACAATTTTCTAGAAAAATATAACTACCAGAACTCAAAAAGAAACAAATATCTAAGTAGAACTATATGCATTAAAGAAATTAAAACAGTAAGTTAACTATTACCACAAAAAACCAAGCATATAAAACAAACAAACAAACAAACAAACAACCGCAAATCCCACTGGACCAAGATGGCTTTTACAAGTGAGTTCCACCAAATCTACAAAGAAGAGATAATATGTAGTTTATACAAAATGTTTTAGCAAAGAAAAAATGCTCTGCATCTCATTTTGAGGCTAATGTATCCATGATACAAAAACAAAACAAAACCTGACATTAAGAATAGAAGGAAAAAACATATAAGCTGCTCTCATTTATTAGAATAAAAACATTTTACAGAAATAACCAGCAAACCACATAGAGAAATGTATTGGAGTGAACCTCCTACATTATGACCAAGTGGGTTTATTCTAGGAAGACA